TAGAGGCTGTTGTCATAGCAGTACTAGGTGTCCTTCAGGGTCTAGATGCAGGTGTTCCACCTGTTGCCTGTCTGGTGAGTTTGATAAGTTTTGGGTCTGTTTTTTTCTGGTATACTTTTAATATGCCCATGTGTTCATATAGCCCCAGCTTCCCAGTTTGTAAGTATATGTGCTCTTAAACTTGAGATGGTCCATCCACACCCTAGTTGGCCTTGTGTCCTTTTTCTTACCTTCTACCATACTTTATATGCTCTACATCCTGCTATTAGCTGATTCCAGAACCATCTTCCCTTGTAGATTCAAAAAACCTTCAAAAGACTATTGCTGTATCTCACTTTCTTCATGCCCAGCACATAGAAGGCACCCTGTAGAGTTTATAGAATGAACTGTGTGTATGTGTTTTCTCCTGGGAATGCTTTGATTTTAAAGATGTGACCTAGCAGTATGTTAAATATGCATGCATTGCTGAGGAGGCTGATTGGAACCAACAGTCCCTGTTTGCAGTTAGAAAGAGGAACCTGCAAGGAGTTAACCTCTATCACAAATCCCTCCTGGCCCTGAGACTCTGTGGCCTTTTTCGAGAGCTTGTGGTATTTCTTTCTTTAGCACAAGGTTCACAGTATCTTGGAGCTTTGTTTTGTAAGGGTCTTTGTTAAACTGTAGTAAAAAACATCTTGTTTTTCAAGGCAATCTTCTTTTTTCATTTACTTGTGATTTTCCAAAACAACCCTGAGAAAATATAGCCATTCCCTGGGAAAAGTATGACATCAGCAAAAATGGCAGAACAAGGGCTTTTGAAAAGTCTCTCCTTAATGGCAATGGAACAACAACAATATCAACAAAAACTCCGAAAACAAGGCAGCAGATGTCAGTCAATGTGTTCAGAATTCTGGAAACGAAAGACTTGCACCAATTCAGGGTCCATGCAACCAAGAAAACCAACAACATGTTGGGAAGAGGAACTTTGTGGTAGTTCTTGTCTGGCCCCGTCTTTGGCCTTGTACTTTGTAGCTAGAATATCCTTGAAAATCAACAGTTTAGTCACAGAAACGCCAGCTAAAGAACTATCCCCGTGTCCTCTGTCTAGTCCTTCCTTGGAAGGCCCCACTTAGAAGTCTTATTTACTTGACCTCATCTCTGGGTCGCAGAAAGCCTTTTACCCAGAGTGTTGTTTTTTAAACCATTAGACACAATTAATTTTTCAGTTGCTGGAAGCAGTAGATAACCTTTTCAGCTAACTAACTAGAAAGCTTCCAAGGAAAAACAGAGGGCTGAGATACCTTGGGGATTTCTAAAAGCTTGAGATAGTCCCGAGAATCTAGAAAACACATGTATACTCAGGGCTGTTACATTCCCAAGGCTGTGTGCATATTCAGGACACATTTTTCTCATTCTTGAGCTTTACACAAGCAGAAAATAGAAGACGGAGAGATCTCCTGACTGGGTTGGAGGTGAAGACATACCCTAACGTGTGTATAGCTTCCCCTTGGTCAAGGATGGGAGGCACTTTGCGCCCTGGACTTAAAGGAAATCCTGGTTTAATCGTTAAGCTAATCCAGTAGAGACGTCAGTACAAAAATTATTCCAACACGGTGGAGTTTATTTTCCCTTAGACCTACTAGCAGTTAGTTTTGGTCAACCAAATAGCATGTTTGTGTCCTCACCTGGAAACAGCCTGAAAGAGCAGGATAAGCTTGGTATCGTGTTAAACATGAAGGGCTAGCCAAGTGGACTTGGTGGAGTGAGGTGAGTTAAAGGGTTTGCTGGTAGTCCGAGGCAACTGTGTCAGAAATGAGATTATTTTGTCACTACCTCAAGCACTTCTCAGGTGGCTTTGTTCTCTGTCTGAGTACTCCTGGTGTTGGTCCTATTTTTCCTTTCCCATGTGCACTTAGAGATAGAAACTCTGGGCCCCTCCTGCCATTTCTGCTAAACTCATCTTCTGTTTGTTCTATATGCGCAGCCTTGGCTCAGGACTTACTGCGGCAGACATGCTGCATTCTGGGAGTCTGTCTTCTGAGAGGAGAAAGGTTACAAATAGAAGCTATAATGACCTTCTTGCAGGCCTAGCACAGCTTGAGAATGGGTGAAGAGCCAGAGTCAAATTCTTTGGCTACCATTTTATTCGGAGCCATCCTAAATGAAGCAGGGCAGTTGTCGTGGACTCTAAAAGGGCTGCACTAAAGTGACCAGCTAGCTGGCCGGTGACTCATTGTGGCAGAGTTGGCAATCCTTTCCTTTGGGCCATACTAAAAACAGATCCAAGGCTTCCATGCATCCATGCTGTACATTGATACAGTGTCCCCTGCCCTCACTCTTGCTCGGGTATCCGAGAAGCTCTCATTTCCCCATGCTCCTCTCAAGGTACTTAAAAAAAGTCTCTCTCTTTCTGTGGAAGAGCACTGGCTGTTCATCTCCACCTGGTTGTTCCGCCTGTAACGGGCTAAGGGTGAGGCAGAGAGGTACACCATGTGATTTACCCTGCCTCCGTCCCCCCACCAGCCCCTGGGAAAAGCTTGACCTGAATGATCATTTTTAGCCTGGTATTTCCTGTGTGGGGGCCAGGGCCTGAGGCCAGAGGCAGAGAGGTGAAGAGGGCACAGGTTCTCTGGAGAATGCTCTCTGGGGAATGAGATAGCCGTCTCGTGGCTAAGTTCTTTAGGTTTGAAACACTACAGAGACTGTAATCTTAGTAATGAAAACAAACCAACAGAGAAAGGCTACTTACATTCCTGAAAGCTGAGAATTCTATAATGTTTCAAGAAAATACTCCTTAACTATGTTTCTAAAAGTGCTTGCATGGATTGTGACTTCAAACTCGAAGAAAATGTGCTAAGCAGAGACACCTGCCTTCAGGCTTGGCAAGGTCTCCTTTCTCCTTTGGAGTATTTATTTCTGCGAATACAGCACTGTTCTGATTTAGAAAACAAAAGGCAAAGAATCTGACCTTTCAAGTGACTTCAGCACATCCCACAGGGCCAGTGCCACCGGCACAGGAAAATCCACCCATGGGACGCTTAGGGACTGCTTTGGGAGGGTCCTTGTAGCTACTTGTAGCTGAACAAAAGGGTCCCTATTCTCTCCTAGTTTCCTTTTGGGGAGGGGCTGGGAGCTTTCAAAAGCCACGAGATGGGATGTCTTTACTTTGGGCTCACAGTGCATTTTCTCATGCAAATAGAACCATAAATTGTGAGCTATAGCTATCAATTTATGTTTTTCTGGTTACAGATTAAAACAGATTTTGACATGCTGTCTTAGGAACCTGTTCACCACCTATATTATTACTATTGCCTCAGAAGAAAATTACTTAAAAAGTTTGGAGGCAGGACCTCTCCAAGTCTGATTCAAGTCAGTCTTGAATCTTTTAGCCCACATGTTCCTCCCTCCTGCAGAAGTGACTGTGAACTTGAACCTCTCAGATCACAGAGCTCTAAGTTCTCACAGTAGAGCCTGAGAACAGATGGGATTTAGCTTGTTTTCACTTGGTTGGGAGATGACTGTAGCCGAAGGTAATAGGAAAACTGGCTTTTGCTATTCACATCCACCACTCAGCACCTCTGAAAGCATATTGGTCTGGAGGGGTGGATTCTCAACACACCAGTTCCTTAGCAACATCAGCTGTGTCTCCGATGATTTAATTTTACAGTGTCCATCTGCTTGGGGTCAGGGTCCAATCCTATAGGTTAAGATTTCAGTCTCGCACAATTGCCCACACTTGAGCTATCAGTTGTGACCTCTTCTTTTGACTAACTGGCAATAAAGTGCAGTTCCTCTGACCACTGTCTTGCATTCCTCCCCGCTTGTGGCTTAATCATTTGCAAGGGCTGCTCACAGAGCTCAGGAAAGTACTTACTAATATTTCCCCGTTTATTATTTTAAAAAAAACATTGCAAAGGATGCAGATAAATAGCTAGACAGAAGATATGTATGGAAGTGGGAGAGGTAAGAAGCTTCTGTTTCCTCTGCAGGTTCCATTACATGTTTAACATATCCAGACCTCCCCAAACACTGGCGCTCAGGAATTTTTTATGGAAGCTTCATCATGTAAGCAGGAGCTATTTTTGACTTGGGCTCTAGCCTCTCTCCCCTTCCTGCAGGACGGGAGTTGGAATGAAGCTTCCATGCTTATAATCGCTGCTTAGTCTTCCAGGTGACTGGACCCATCTGAGTGCTTACCAAGAATGATTAAATTATTAAAAAACGAAGACACTCTTATTACCCATGAAATTCTAAGGGATTAAGATCTCCATGTCTGGAACTGGGGTCGGAGACCAAATACTAGAACAAGAAAAGAGATGCATCTGACATCCCGGTGCTCAGGAAATTACAGGGATTTTCAAAGCTGTGTGCCAGAAAATGGGGGCAGTGAGCAAATATATAGTTCTTTTTATATCGCAACAACACAATGCTCATTTGTGAATCCCAAGAACAGGTTCTATTTATGATCAGCCTCAAGAGCTTTCTTTGTGGGAGCCATATGTATGATGGAAAATAAAAGCACGTTAAAACGATCGAGTCTTCTAGCTACAATGTTATCATCCCAACAATTGTATGTTCTCAGGGTGTGTCACAGCCTCCTCCAAGGCCTTGGCTGCTAGAAACCTCACCATATAAACCCCATAGTATTCCCTGAGAACAGACAGGAGCCAAGCATGCCAGCATAACTGTCTTACCTTGGTCTGCTTTTGTGGGGAGAAGCTAGATAAGTGGGTTCTTATGAAGGAGGCCTGTGAAAGGAGTTTTCAAACAATTCTGGGCATGTGGCTTTTCAAACATCATTTTAAATGGAACCATGAGAAAATAGGTCAAATGAAATATGAAGGGCTGAGGATGTGGCTCAGTAAAATGCTTGCTATCTACCCATTTATTTAAATATTGAAATATTCCTTTAGAGTCAAGCTGATGACCTTTTAACTTCAGGGCAAAGGTAGAAATCGGCGAATCACAGGAGTAAACCCTAGCTATGAGATTATGTTTACATTCGTTCATTTTTCCTTTAGTTATGTCCAAGTATGAAAACCAGATTACTATTTTCACTGACTACCTAGAAGAATTCCCAGATACAGACGAGCTGGTATGGATCTTGGGAAAGCAGCATCTTCTTAAGACAGGTAAGTTTGGTGGCACTGATCAGGGAGGCCCCAGCTAAAGCGAGTGCCAGGGGTGCCTGGGGTTAAGGGCGCCTCATTTTCCTTCTAGGGTTGACTAAACATTGTATTGCTAAGGGCTAATGCTACATCACTTGTTAAGCATAGTTCCTTCCAAGGCCCCAAGAGGCCTTAGCCAAACATTTACAAAGGATTTTGTTGGCATGATTTACAAAAGCAGTATATTTTTATTCTTTTCTGTAAAGAAGTTCCGGTCCCATTCCTGAAGACTTGGGACTCAAAAACAAATGCAATCATTTATAGTATTTATTACTAAGCAGTATCTAGTCATCGGGCTCTATATTTCTTATTCTTATCATGTCTTTGTGCTTCTAGACAAAACACCTGGGAACTTCCACATAAGCCACGGCTGTCAGAAACAATATCAGACACAAGAAACCTGCTTTAGATCTTCTTGTGATGACTGCAGTGCCCTAGTTAGTTGATTCTGGTTCTGTATATAACTTCTAGTTACTTGCAGTAGATGGAAAGGAGGCTTGAGCTTTCCCACTTTTATCACACGCATTCTTAAAGGATAGAGAAGGCCTAGTGCCTGAGATGGGAAAAGGGCAGCTCTGGGATGTGTTACTTCACAAGGGGAGATCTACAGAAGCCCTTAGCATAGCGTAACAGATAGAAGGAAGCTGATCAAAGGGCAGGCGAAGAAGTTAGGCCTTGCCCTTTCCTGTGCCAGTGTTTTATTGGAAAATTGTGAACAGTGGAGAGATCACAAAGCTAGCCATTGTGAGACTTTAGCTTCATAACCCAGTGGTTCTCAACCTGTGGGTCGTGACCCCTTTGGAGGATAAATGATCTTTTCATAGGGGACACATATCAGATATCCTGCATACCAGATATTTACATTATGGTTCATGGTTCATAACAGTAACAAAATTACAGTTATGAAGTAACAATGAAATAATTTTATGGCTGGGGGGGGTCACCACAGCACGAGGAACTGTATTAAAAGGTCGCAGCACTAGAAAAGTTGAGAACCATTGCGCCCATTAGGGAGACTTTGAAAAGGGACTTTCTCTCTCTAAACCGTCCCTTCCTTCTCCAGGACTTCCAGTGAAGGGTTGAGGAGGACCTTTTCTAGTTCTACTTTCCAAACAACAGGAAAAATCTAGGATGTGGAGTATGCCCTTATTCAGATATTAAATTTGAAAATGTCTTCCCTCCCTTCTTTTTCTTGAGAAGGGTTTTATTCCATAGCTCAAGCTTACCTGGAACTCTAGAATTCACTATGTAGACCAGGCTGACCTCAAATCCACAGCCATCCTCCTGCTTCAGCCTCCCAAGTGCTACTAGGATCACGGGCATTTGGCACTATGCCTGGCTGGGTAAGACCTTGCAAATTGAATATTTTGTTTGCTGAATTCCTCCCTAGCATAGAGCCAAGCTGGAAGCTATAGGGGCTGAAGAGGCAAGAATGATCTGTGTGAATGTTTAAAGGGTCAGGCATATAAAAATAGCAACATTTGGCATAGACTTACAACATACTAGATATCAACTAAGTGCTTTACAAATGTGTATATATATGTGTGTGTATGCATATTTTGACTTTATGTGAATTATCTTCTTGAATATGCATATCCTTAATGAAGTAGGTATTGCTACTCCTAATTTTATAGATGAGAAAACAGAAGCTCAGAAAAATTGAGTGATAAATTTATATATACAGTAAGTAGCAGACCCAAGTTAACTCTCATCCCTGCTACAAGGTTTCAATATGTAGCTCAAGCTGGCCTTGATTTTGAAATTCTCCTGCCTTAGACTCTTGTGTACTAGGATTATACGAATGTGTCACTATACTCTTGGGTTGAGGATATAGCTCACTTGGTAGAATACCTAGCATGTACCAAGTGTTGGATTCAATCCCCAGCACCCTGGGGCTGGTGGCCATGCCTGTTAGCTTAGCACTAGAAAGTTAGAGACAGAATGTTGGTTGTGGTGGCACACACCGGTAGGATTTGCTGAAGGAGGCAGAGGCAGGAGGATCATGAGTTCGAGGCCAGCCTGGGCTACACATTTTTAAAAAAAGAAAAAAGAAAGATAGCAACAAAAGAATCAGAAATTTAACATCATCCTCAGAAATTTTGAAGCCATTGTAGGGTACATGAGCCCCTGTTGGGGGGTGGTGCTTAAAAAGACAAGAAAAGAGAACTCAACATTTTTTAAAGTTTATTTATTTAGTTTATGTGTATAGGTATTTTGCCTATATTCAGGTCTGTGTACTAGGAGGCCAGACGATGGCATTAGATGCCCTGAAATCTACAGATGGTTGTAAACCACCATGTGGGTGCTGGAAATTGAGCCCAGGTTTCCTAGAAGAGCAGACAGTGCTCATAAGCACTGAGCTGTTTTTCAAAGTCCAAGAACTCTTACTCTGGAACATTGTCCATCTCTCAAAATGGGGGCTAGGTGCTGGGGACAAAGAAATACATACAACTCTAATTTTTGATTTGTTCCAAAAGATGGAATTAGAAACTATCAGTAAAATTTAAATTTCCCTTCTGCTTTTGAAAACACAATGACTATAAATTCTATACTAAATGTCACATATGCATATATGACATTAAGAGGGAGCGAGACGACTAGAGAAGACAGAGCCATACCCAAGTACGGGAGGAAATGCAGAAGCCATAATTGTAGTGATTGAAGCGAATTTACATCATAGAACGCAAGAAATAAGCTTTGGAAAGGTATGAAAGGTATTCATGATATTATCCATTCACTTACATGAAAATAGGGCACTAGATACTATGGATAAAGTTCCTATGCAGTTAGTAGGAGCATTTCTGTTTTAGTTAAATGTATGCATTTGTACCCCTTTTCCTACACATAAAGCTCTTCCAAACATATGAACTCCTAGTTTTAGATAATAGACGATGGACACTGATACTATCATCCTTTAGGCTAGAGACAGTTGCCTTAGTGGATTATAGAAGACACTTGCTTTTCCTACTTCTTGTTGTTTGGGCATGACCTCAGTGCTAATACCTTTCAGGATCCTGAAAATCTTTGAGAAGGAGACAGGAAGTATCTCCTATCATTAGAAGAACCTGTAGAATAGCTCTGGTGAAAATGAAGGTAAAGAGAAGTATTGAAATTAGTAGGCTCAAATGGTATTAGGTTTCCTGTGAATTTCCCTAGTTCTATAACAATCAACTTGATTGGCCATCTGAAAGTAAGCTTGCTGCTGACGTAGAAGTCAAATGTAGGCATTTTTTAAGATGGGATATGATGATTTAATTTTAATTTCACATTTAATTACAGAAAAATCTAAGCTGTTGTCTGATATAAGTGCTCGTCTATGGTTTACATACAGAAGGAAATTTTCACCGATTGGTAGGTATATCATTTGTTGTGCTGTGCTTTCCTTCTTGTAGATAGCTTGCTTGAGGTTATCAATGACATCACAGAAACCTCAGAATTAACAGCTCACTGTGGCAAAGAATTTGATTTAGGGGAGCAGGTAAGTTTAACATTTCATCCCAAAATGTCATTGTGGAAGTAGCCCATCATGTGTGGTTCCATGGTGTTGTAGTGTTAAACCAGTAGTAATTTTGGCCCACCTTTAAGTGTTCATGCAACAGATGGTATTTAAAGAATCAAATAAGCTTTCACTGGGTAATATCTAACCATTAAATTGCCTTTCACTGCCATATGGTACTATTTGACTATAAAAGTGGCTTAGGCCCTGAAGGAAAGAAAATAGTTCCTCCTATTATTTTCTCGTGAAATGAAAGCACGTTGATATTCAGAGACAAATTGAGACAGATTTCCTTAGAATTCCTAGCTGCCATTTAGGGAAAAAGAAAAGGATAGTTTGATAATTAAAAGGATTTGTAAAGCATTTGTGAGCAGCGTAGCCATGTCTTAGTAGCATGGAAAGCTAGGGAAAGAGTCCTATAAGCAGTGGAAGTTACTTTCCTAAAGAGCAGCTTGTCAAACCAAGGTTGGACCTAGTAATAGGAGTGAAATGAACCTTTCTGTGCTGGGCCCAAACTGAAGTCCACCCAAACATTTTCTTTGCTTTTTAAGTAGTAGTAACACAGCAGACTAATCTTTAGTATTCTGGGGTTCTAAACTGCTAATGTTCACTGGGGGAAGAAACCTTTGCAAAGCTGGGCAATTCTTTAGTCAACTCTGACAGTGTTTAGAAAGAGCTGATCTGTTCTTTTGTGGGCCTCACCCTACCTTTCCTGAACTAATATAACGTCAATCCTAGCGTTAGCAACAGCCCAAGGGCTCTCCTCCAGCTCCGAAATCTGTCCACACCCCCTTAGTCTTGACATGGCAGTGCCCCTCCAGTTCCTACAACAAAGGGGTTGGGATGCAGGAGAATAGCTTGGCCCACCTGTTGCACAAGAGTGCTCACTTCTTCTGAACTAGACTTCTGGGATCATACCTTCAGAAGACTTCTGCTTCTGAGGCGGAAAAGAAAATCAAGTTATCTGATTATGTTGGGCCTTTTGAATAGGACCCTAGTAGAACTCACCCTGTACACATGTTTGACTTTTACTTTATATCAAATCTCCTTCAAATGACACCCATTGTCTCATTTATTAATTGACTTTATATTTTTTTAAAGATGTAATACATTTGTAACGTATTAATAGAATTTTATATAAGACCATATCATGATACCAAGTATCCTTTGTGGGTTCTATAACTGTGAAATATTTTTTCATTTAATTCTTAAAATGCCCACCGATAATAGGTAGAGTATATGCTATTATCCTCAACGTATAGCTGAGATTTAGCTTGTATTGGTCTTCTGCCTAATCTAGGGTTCTTTCATTTATTTGTTGTTGTTGTAAACTTCATTAAATACATTTGGACTAGTCAAGAGCCTTTCATATGTCTTTGATCATTTTGATGTTCACCCTCGGTGGTAGTATTTGTACTTTAGTCAAGGTAATCTCCTTGTTGATAGTTACCTGTGATAGTTACTTGCCAAAATAGCATGCATACTCTGAAGTCTTCAAGCAAGAAACCCAAGGGGGCTTGCTTAGTTATTTTTTGTCTTTGACTGTAGACTCTGTTTCCTTTGATTCAGCATTGTCTTTACAAGTTCCACTCCTATATTCAAATCCCGTATGAGCTCTAAATACATTGTCTCTCTTTTCAGAATTTGTGTATATGTATATGTGTTTGTAGTTTCAAGCACGCTGATGATCGCGAAAAGATTAATTTAAGAAACACATTTTCATGCCCATCCATTTTGCCAACAGGGGGAACAGGTCCTTCATCTGATGCTGGCTGGGGATGTATGCTACGCTGTGGACAGATGATGCTGGCCCAAGCCCTTATCTGTAGACACTTGGGAAGGGGTGAGTTCCATTTGGTCTACAAATGTTTTCTGAGACATCTGCCATATCACTTGCTGTGGGCTTTAAGAACATTCAGTAACGAGACTGCAGATCCTAAATTGCCTTGTAACAGCTCAAGTGTTGGGCTGAAAAGTCAACCAAGCCCATCATGAGAAGGAACTAGCTGATACTTCCTTATGACTCACCAAGCAAGAGTTATTTCCAGGGACAGAACTAACCTGTAGCAGATGTGTCATTTAAAATTTCCATTTTTACTGCTGTTTGAATGGGTCCTGAAAATGTCAGATTAAAAAAAAAAAAAAGCTGTGACCCTAAACTGGACATAGTGGCAACCCTGTCTGTGCTCAGGAGGCAGTGGTAGGCCGATCTCTGTGAGTTTGAGGCCAGCCTGGTCTATCAGAGAATTTCATGACAGCCAAAGCTTCCTAGAGAGACCCAGTCTCAAAACACAAACCAAACCAAATGAAAAGCTGTGGCCATGGTGGCTCACACCTAAAGTCCTCCCACTTAGAAGGCCGAGGTAAGAGAGCTGCTGTGAGTTTGAGGCTAGCCTTGCCTGCATACTAAGTTTCCAACCAGCCTGGACCACAGAGCAAGACGCTGTTTCAATAAACAAAACAAAACAAAACAAACAACCAAAACAAAATGAGAAGATAACAAAGAAAACAGGAAGAAGGGTGTGGTGATAAGTCTGTTTCTGAACTCTTTAAAATATCCTTGTAGCTCAGGATATAAATGACCTAAAGGAAGTGCTTAATGAGGAAGCCAGTACTATTTTGGTTTTGGTTCCCTGAGTATGTCCATTTGATAATGAATAAATCCCTAAATTAGCTTTCTCAGGAGGAAGCTTCACTATTTAAGAACCTTCTGGTTATTCTTATTTTCTCTGTGACATATGCATGCTTCTTCATGGACCTCTGGAGGATGATCTTGGATGGACACCAGAGTAAAAGTCCAGTTTCTCATGCTACCAAGCTGCTGAGCTTGCTGGCTGTTGTTAATCTCACTGTGCAGACTCACAAGTCCTGTGCCAGCTTTTAGAGAGGATCTGCAAAGTGCTAGGGGAGGTTTTCCAGCTTCTTGCCTTCCTGCTGGGATTTGGCTATTCTGTGCTTGCTTTCTCTGTGTACTGTCATCATTTCTAGCCCACAGACAAGAAAACTGGGGCTCATGGCAGCGAGGTGATTTGTCCAAGGGCAAGCAGCTTAGATGTGAGATTAAAATGCTTATACTTTGATTCTGTGTCCAGCAAGTATACTACACATACTTCTTAAGCTAGACTTATTATTGTTTTAAGGGATAAATCCGCATTTTGCTAGCATATATCAGTTGTACAAAGTAGTAGAATTTATTGTGACATTTCCATACATTGTATTTTGACTATAGTTTCTCTATTACCATTTCTTTTTAAAAAATTATTTTTAGTTTTTAATATTATGTTTGTATGTATGTGTGTGGATTTGCATATGTATGCATGAATGTAGTGCCTACAGAGACTAAAAGTGGGTGTTGATCCCCTGGAGCTCAAGTTACAGATGGTTGTGAGCTATCTGACTTGTGTTCTGGGGACTAAACTTCTGTCTTTCACAAAAGCAGCATAGTGCCCTTAACCACCATCTCTCTAGACCCTCTATTGCCATTCCTTATCTCTCCTTCCCACCTCCTTTGTCCCCTCTTACTCTCCCCCATAATCCCTCTTTCATTTTCATGCTTCACTTTCTTCTCCCTAGATTCCACATTTGAGAGAAAACTTGCAATACTTATTGTGAGATTGGCTTACTTTTATTTCCCAGTTGCATCCTTACTAGTTATTTTTATTACTTATTTACTGTGTGTGTGCGTGTGCGTGTGTGTGTGTGTGTGTGTGTGCATGCGTGCATGCACTCTGTACCACAGTGTGCTTGTGGAGATCAGTTGTCTCAACCATGAAGCTCCTGGAGACCAAACTCAGGTCATTGGACTTGGAACCAAGCACATTCACCTGCTGAACTTTCATGCTACCCCTTTTAATTTGTTTTTTTAAAAACTTGAAGGTGAGTTAGTTCTGAAAGTGAATTCTTGAAGTAGGGGACCTGATGGAAAAATCTGCACAGTTATCAGTCACTGCTGCTTAGCAGAAAAGCAAATAGCAGGGAGGATTTGGATAGAGCTTGTAGTTAAAGTAAATTAGAAGAGGTAATTTTGTAAGGATTTTGGGTTCTTTCTTATTCAGTCACTTTACAATTAAGATGAGGTATTCATGTGACAGTCATCAAAAAGTATTTGATGGCCCTTAGCTACCCATTAATCAAGATTTCCCCAGAACCAGATAGTTGAGTAGCTATTGAAATAAGTTGGCTGTGGTTTGTCCTAGTGGATATGATAGAGTTGAAACTTAAGACTTTGGGTTCAGAGAAACTAGGAGCAGAAGGGAGCTGAGGGATCCAAAGATGATCCTGTAGACTCATGTACATGGCCAAAGTCATTAATTCAGACCTTAGTTGTTAGACAGGGTCTCTCACTGAACCTGGAGCTTCCTGACCTGGCTAGACTGGCTGGTCAGTAAGCACTGGAGATCCTCCTGTCTTTCTTCCCAGCACTGTGCTATGGTGCATACTACTCCTGCACTGAGCTGTTTCCATGGGCGCTGGCTTTCCAACTCCAGTCCTCATGCTGGCCATTGTTTTACCAATGGAATCATCTCCCTCCTGCTTTGTGTTTGGTTGGCTGTTTTGTTGAAAAAAAGGTCTTGCTGTTTATAGCTTAGGCTAATCTTGAACTCACAATATAGTCTAGACTGGTGATGAGATCGAAAATTTTCTGCCTCAACCTTCTGAATGCTGATATTATAAGATTTTTTCTTTCCCTTCTCAATATACAATTTTTAAAAACACTTCCTTAGCAGTGAATTGTGTCTGTTATTTCCACATAAACTTTCATATATCAGAATAGCACTTCCCGTCATGAGACCCTTTGGCAATACTGCCAGAATGGAAGGACAAAAGCCACTGTAGAGATGAGACACTATGGCGTCTGGGTTATATCCTTGCAGCATAGCTGCCAGAAAATAGCTTTGTGACACTGTTGGTATGTAATTGCTGGCCAGCTCCAGCCCTTGGGGCAAGTTCAGTCTCTATTCAATTCCATCCTCAGCTTTTAACTTCCCCACACATGCTAGCGGAGTGATCTCCGTTCCCCAGCCCTGGCTTTCACTTTATCCCCCCCCCCACCCCATCTATAGAAGTCAGTTTTGCAGCATCTGCTATCTAAATGAAAGATACTCAGAAATATGCCAGCTTCACTAGCCTACCTCCTCAATGTAGCTTTCTTGTTTTCCTTTTAATTTATTGCCGGGTTATAACAGTTATGGCTGATTTTAACCCTTTTTTATCCCCTCTCCCTGCAAAAGATTGGAACTGGGAGAAACAAAAAGAACAGCCCAAAGAATACCAAAGGATTCTGCAGTGTTTCCTAGATAGAAAAGACTGTTGCTATTCGATCCATCAGATGGGTAAGATCATCAGATTTGTACTTTCAAATTTTGTAGATTTTCAAGATTGTTGCCTATGAACTTTTTCCTTCCCTACCTTATATGGAGCTTCACTAAGTTGTCTGTCTGCCTTTTCATGCCAAAAAAAAAAAAAAAAAAAAAAAAAAAAAAAAAAAAAAAAAAAAAAAACAAAAACAGGAGTCTGTGGCTCACAAAAGGTATTTTGCTAACTTGTTGATTTTTTCACACACAACAGCACAAATGGGTGTAGGAGAAGGGAAATCAATTGGCGAATGGTTTGGACCAAATACAGTCGCACAGGTGTTAAAGTAAGTAAAAGTCCGGTGCCTGCTTGTTCTACTTGCTTTTATTGCTTCCACCGCCCCAGCCAACTAAAGTCCTTTCTTCTTAAGTATGCTTGCAATCCCTTGAAACATCTCTACCATCTTGTTCAGATACTCCTTTGATGTGCATAAGTATAGGCCTCTGTCTTGGTATATCAGTGCTATAGGCACTGGTATCAGCACAGGTGGCTCTACTCCAGGACTCATTCTGTTTCTCGTCCTACAGATGGATGTTCATTTGCCAGGGAACCGTCAGCCTGTGGGGTCTTTTGAAGTTATTAGGTTCATACTAAGTGCTAGAGGCTTAACTGGATTAGGCAAGAAATAGACTCCTATCCTGTATAGTAATAAAGGCCTCTACTGAGCGAGGAAGATGACTCATTGGGTAAAGGTGCTTGCTGCCAATCCCAATGACCCGAGCTCAGACATGGGCAGGAGAGAACCACCACATGGTGGAAGAAGAGAACCAACCCATACAAGTTGCCCTCTGACCTTCACACACGCACCATAGAATGTACCTCCCCCTAAATAAAGTATTTTTTTTTTAAAAAAAAAAAAAACCTCACATCTCTGTGAGTTCGAGACCAGCCTGGTCTACAGAGCTAGTTCCAGGACAGGCCCCAAAGCCACAGAGAAACCCTGTCTCGAAAAACCAAAATAAATAAATAAATACATAAATAAATACATAAATAAATACATAAATAAATACATAAATAAACAAACAAACCTCACTAGTTCATTTAGCATTTACTGGGTGCCTTGCTGTGTTGAGTACTGGGTATACAGAGATAACAGACACAGTCCTCGCCTCAATGGACTGACTGCCTATTGGAGGATGACAATCCCAAGGCAGTCTTGGGATTAGTTTGGTATCTATTAGCAGGTTTAAAGTGATACTTTCATAATTGCCATTTTATATTGCACAATTTGTGTTTTACCAAGAGGTGCGGTAGAGGGGTCACAGTGTAAATGGGGTGAGTGTCATCAGTACCCACATCTTCTCTTACTTGTCGTTCTCTCCTTCCTGACAATTTGCCAATGGATGAAAACTCCCTGCGGGCAGCCTGTATTTGTCTTGTTCATTCTGTAGCAGTGACCCATAAAACTGCCTACTACATAGAAGCACCCAGTAAGCACTCAATGAATAAATGAAATTGGCAGCCAGAACCTGGGGCTAGATGTAGGGATCAGGAGATGGAGATCATTAGGCCTCCTTTGGTGTAGTGTATTTCAATTCCTGGCTATTATGGCTCTGTATAAAGTAGACAAGGGGCTTTGATTCAGCGGTTAAGCAGTCTTCAGTGAATAGCCGTGGAGCTGTGCATACGAGGTGAGTAGTCTGGATCTCCTGGGACCCAGGGACACTTGTATCTTGGCTTTATTCCCTGATACCGATGCAGCTTCACTGAGTCCACTTTCTTGCCTTAGTCAGAGTACCTTCTGGGCATCCTTGCCTCTCCTGAGCGAGGAACTGGCCGTATTCCAGAAGTGCAGTAGGAACAGACCCAGAGAAGAATGTATAAAATATTAGAGTCACTAGGCTGAGCCTCAAATCTGGTTTTGAATAGATTTTTTTCTTTCTTCTATGTTTTATATTTTAAGGTTTTTAACAATAAACAAATGGAAGGTCGTTTTTAATTTCTTGTTAAAATCAGCATATTGTGTTAGATATCATTATGCCATTTGCAATCAACGTGTTTTATGCTTTGCCTCCCCCTGTCTCCCCACCCCTGGTTATTCTTGTCTTTCCCTGATTGCCTGACCCCCAAGATTCCTTTCCTCTTTTATGTCCCATCTGTCCCTTTGCCCTCTCATCTATCTCCATTCTCACCAGGATTTAAGTATGCTCAGATTTTTGTGTGTGTGTGATTGCCTCTGTTAACAATAGCACATATGCTCCTTAACACAGTAAAAGACAGACATCATAATTTGGAAATCAAAATGTATTTACTATATGTAAACTATTGAACAGTACAGCTTAACAAGTGAGCTGTTTTCTCTGAGGATCAGCTGGCTGATTGGAGTTGCAGCTCCCTACCACTGCTCGGCATCGGCAGAGGGTCTCACACTGTGTGTGACTAGCCCTGAGAATGAGTTCCAATTCAAAATTCAAAGTCTGGTTTCTGCTGAATGCTTGTCACTTCCACACCATCTGAAAGTAAAAAAGTAGTAATAACGATTGTAAGTGAAACCAGAGACCATATAATCACATCATTGTTATTTTGAGAAAGGCGCTGAGTTAAAATTAGTAAATTAAAAGTGTAATGAGGGCTGAGGAGATGGCTCAGTGGATAAGGTTCTTGGCTGTGCAAGCATGAGAACTTAAATTTGGATCACCAGGAACCATGTAATAAGAAAAGAACAAGGAACATGCGCCTGCAACCCCAGCCCTCGGGGACAGACACAGGAGAATCGCAGGGTCATTGTCTAGCTGAAATGGTGAGCTTCAGGGTAAGTGAGAGACCCTGACTAAAATAGTATGGTAGAGAAGCAACTGAGGGAAGACATCTCGACATCATCCTCTGCTCGCTCTCTCTCTCTCTCTCTCTCTCTCTGTCTCGTGCACACACACACATCCTTTCTCATGTACACCCATTTTCTCTCTCTCTCATACACACATACACACACACACACACACACACACACACACACACACTTTAGGTGCTAGGGATGGATGGATGGATGGATCCAGGACCTCATACATGCTAGTCAAGTACTCTGCCACTGAACCACACCAGCCTCCAATATATATTTTAATGGCATTACTGTTTTTCTTTTTTAAGGAAATCAATAACTGAGAATGTCTTTTATTTAGGGAAACAAAATATGTTGAAATTTTCAGGACAGATATATAGATATCATTTCTTTTTCCTCTACTAGGAATACTGTCATTTGATGAGGTAGGGTTTTCCATTTTATAAAGTATGACCTTCTTTTAGAAGTTCAGATACAGTGGTTCTGTGGTATTCTGCAAATCCCCGGACATGGAATTTCCCAGAACTCTTGTCAAGCCAGAGCTAACCCAAACACAGGCTTTTCTGTGGCTCAGTGTGTGGTGACGTTAGGAATGCTGGGAGTATAGCGTACCACTTCCAACTGATGTTTTCATCTTCTCTAGTTGTGATTTCATTATATGTTGCTTCACAGAAAACTCGCTTTATTTGACGAATGGAATTCCTTGGCTGTTTATGTGTCAATGGATAACACAGTGGTCATTGAAGACATCAGTGAGTCCATAGACTGTTAGCCTTCTCATTGGTGGGTGCAGTCCCTTCTCTAATTCAGAAATCTGGAGCTGGAAAGATAACCGCGGCCTGCCCCACAAGGACGGGGAAGCCCAGGAGAGCAGAGTGGCTCTCTTCCCTTCCTTTTCAGTCTTCTGAAACAGAAAACCTTTTTCTCAAAGGTGTGCCATGGCTTTTGCTTCTGGAGGGAAAGTGTGTATGATCTGTCAAATCACAGTAGATGGATCGTAGAGGCCTGCTGTTTCTACCATAAAGGGTAGGAAAACCGAAAACACAGTCCGTGACTCCAAGGCCCTCAAAGACTAATTTAGAAATGAGATCCTTGGAACAGGCCCAGAATACCTGTTGGCCACTAAGCCGGTGCTCAGTGGCCAATATGAAGAGTGACAAGCTGAAGGAACAGCAGAGCATTCCTGTGGGAAACCGGGCTGACTGGTCTGTGGTGGCAAAGGAGAGGACCTTTCCAGGCATGAAGGGCTGCATGCAAGGTCCCTCTGTTTTACCCTTGTGAAGGCCCTAGTGCTAGATACTCCTGCCTCATCCAGATCTCTTGCCTTCTGTTTCTAGAGAAGATGTGCTGTGTTCTTCCTGTGGGAGCCGACACAGCTGATGAGAGCCCTCCTGCTTCTCTGACGGCCTCCAATCAGAGTAAAGGCCCCTCTACCATGTGCCCAGCTTGGAAACCCCTGCTGCTCATTGTGCCCCTTCGCCTGGGCATAAACCAAATCAATCCTGTGTATATTGAAGCATTCAAAGTAAGTCTCTTTTTTTTCTCGAGCCCATTGCTGCCTGCCCATCACACTGCCATGTCAGCACAGAGATCCGTGAGCAGCAGTCCACAAGTGAGTTGAGAATCTTGCGTTCTCTTTCCCTTTAGGAGTGTTTTAAGATGCCACAGTCTTTAGGGGCTTTAGGAGGAAAGCCAAATAACGCCTATTATTTCATAGGATTCTTGGGTAAGAAAGGATGGATTGCAAGTAAGTTGTCATGGGCTAGGGAAGGGTGTGGGGCAAAGGTGCTCATGGGATATAAGAAGTTCCGGTGAGTGGGCATTGCTTTAGCCTAGGGATACTGTGGCCTCTCATCAGCGTCTTCTGTCTCCAACCTGACCTATACAGAGTGATTCTTGCTTCTTTGTGCTTGATGGACGCCAGGTCCCCATTCATGCTTCTGTTTCTTTTCCTCTTGATGGGATAGCTTTGCTCTTTTCTTCTGGTTAGACACAAGGTCACAGCATCACTTCAGAGTGGTCCTTTCCTGCATGTGAGTCCCAGGACAGTTGGGTTTTAGTACTCTGCCTTTGCTGATCTCCTTCCTATTGAAGTTCAGGCAACAGCCTTGAAGCATCCACTGGTTTTCCAGGTCACTATGAATATACCTTCTGTCTTATTATTCAGAACTATGATTAGGTAGGAATTAGAAGATGCAAAGGCAGACTTGTACCTTTTCTGTGACTAAGCCTTAAAAATACGAACCTCTGTAGTCCTCTGTAGTTGGGTGTGATAGAGCATACCTTTAATCCCAACACTAGGGAAGTGGAACAAGTGGCTCTCTATGAGTTTGAGGTCAGCCTGGTCTGCATAGTGAGTTCTAGGCTAGCAAGGGCTACATAGTGAGAACCTGTCTCAAAAATAAAGCAAACCTACTACCCTCCTAATATGGGCCCTAATGATTAGTTCATCGTTGTATGCATGTGGTGGGAATCTTGCCACCTTACTCACTAGCTGTGACCAGAGACGTGTAAGGCCCTTAGCACACAGCATGCTAGAGGGTCCATCTAGACTTCATTTGTTCACTCATCCCTTTTGGAACCTGTTAAGGTACAGACTCACTAAGTTCAAGATGGGGCCTGAGACATGTTTTTCTAAGGGTTTTCAGTGCTGCTGCTGGATCATGATTTAAGAACCAGACCCGGATACCCAATGAGTACTGTAGACTGTGAGAAGAGGAGGGATATAGCCACAGACATTTGGCACAGGACGTTCTCTTCTGGAAATAGAGTGGTCAGACATTGAGATTCAAGAAAGCCATGAACTTAGACTGCTTGCCAGACAAGAAGAGCTAGAATATCTGTAAGCAAGTGCCATGAGAGAATACACAGAGAATAAAGCAGAGAGAATGCTGTTCATCTTCCCAAACCATTCTTTGTAGACCAGGAGGTGGGCTGGTAACACACATAGCACATGAGTCTCTTACTAGGTATTGGCTTGAATTCTGGAGAAAGATAACTCAGGATCATGTTTCTCTCCTTTTAAATAAGCCAGCACTTGACTCTCTGTTAGGTCATCTCATGGTAAAACTATTTGGCAAAGAGACGTAAAGTAAGTGTTCTGTGAGAGATGGCCCCACCCAAAGCCACCCACTGCTGTCCTTCCTTAGCTCTTTTTTCCTGTCTTTCTTGTGGGGGTTGCCACACAGCTGCTCTGTTTCTGTAATGCTGCCATCTACTGATCCATCTTTAAAATTACAACTTAATAGAAAATCTGGAGCTACGAACATTCAGACGCCCTCTTTGTTTAAACTTTGGAGTCCTTGTCAAACAAAGTGACACAAAAACATACGGCCATCACTATCTTAGTGTCTGTGGGTTTCCCATGGATAGATCTGTCTAAACATGGATCAGCAATATTCTTGGGGAAAAGTTTGTACTGACCGCATCCATCCTTTTCTCATCATCACTATCAGCCCTGTGAGACAGACTGATACTTCCGTTTTATACATAGTGAAATGACGATTCAGAGAGATTATTTTCTCAGCGTCACTCAGCTAACAAGCAGCAACATCAGGATTTGATCACAGTTTGATTATCTCTGTCTGCCCTCCCCACCTCCCATTTTTCCCCAGGGCCCTCCTGCCAGGTGCGCAGCTGGAGAAGACGCAGTTGTGGGAAGCTCTGGCCACGTTAATACTCTGCCTGTCAGATTTTGCTTGCGTAGGGAGAAGGAACTGTTTGTTCTTTGCTCTTGGGTATAGGTTCCATGTGGAGATCTATAGCATTAGGCCCATCTGTGCAGATGGTTGTGCAGCCTGCCTGTTCTCCACGGGCCTCGGTGGAGACCCTTAGTTAGTCTCAACATCCATTTTTGGACGTCATATGTCTTGTGCTGTATCTCTTATAGAAACTGTCAGAAAAAAAGCAGCCTGCAAAGCTTTCCCCTCTCCACTCATGGGGAAAGGTTATGGCTATATGATGACAAGCCATCTTCATTCCCAACACCCAACTTAAAGCACCCTGGTGGATGGTTAGGTTCTATCCCTCTTGGGATGTCTATCTTTATGTCCCCAACTTCCCTTTCCAACTACCGTTTTGTAAGGCCTTAGACAAGCTTCCTGCTGAACATCTTGGTTGTTGCTCTTCAGTGTGATCTGAGGCTATTGGGTTACTGATCTTACTCACCCTGATCTAGTGAGGAATTTGTGCCATGACTTTTATGTGGCAAATCATACGGAGACACTGATTTCTGTACTTCCTAGCTATATATATTTGTGAGTAAATATGTCTGGCTCAAAGTGAGATCATTAAAATAACTTTATAAATGGATACTGTATTGCATACATTTCACAGAGGTGACCATTTCTGGTTCTTATATACCATCTAATGTACTAGAACAGGCCCCATGACCCCAGTTGAAAATGAGAGTGTTTGAAAGGCAAATGAGTTAAGCAGTTTGTCTTTGTCTATGAAACAGAACAGTGAAACTTACCAGGCATCCATAACATATTCTTTACCAGTAGAATCACATAGATGCACCCTCCATATGGAATTCCAAAGACTTTGGGGACATTTTTTTTGATGTCTGTAAATCTTTTGTCACCTGAGTTGAGGACATAGAGACCCAGATGACCTTGGGCCTGGACAGTGAGATCAGATGTTTCCTGAGGTATTTATGTCTGCTTATTGGTATAAGAACTTCTGCCCTTTAAACATTGGACCAAGGTGGACATTTTATCACCTCAATCTCCTCCAAGGTCATTTTGAGGTTGAACTTTTGCAGTTCACTGAAACATGGCTTTTCTCTTTTGTGTGAAACTTAGTCATTTTGGACTTAGGTTTTGGCTCAGTGGTAGAATGCTTGCACAGTATACACAAACTCTTGAGTTTGATCTCCAGCAAAACACACACACACACACACACACACACACACACACACATGTCAGTCAATCCAAGTAGCTTTTTTTCCAGTGATGTTCATCTATGCCAATGTTTACATGACAAAGGCTGTCTTTTCTGATGGGAACTGACAGACCTGCTCACAAAGACTAACCCACTAGCTAATTGCTAATCATGAATAGGCATCAATTTAGTGGGTTCTGATCCACAGAGCTTAGCTTCCTGTTGTGTGCAGGTAGAATTTCCTTTGGAGGCCAAGGCTTTTTCCATCATGAGAGATGCTTTCTGAGTTTGGTTCTGAGAACCAGCTGTGTATCTCAAGATGCCATCCAATGCTGAAAGAGGCAGTGCGCCCCCTAGTACCATTGGAGCTCCCAACTTGAGGGATTCTCCTATCAGCACCTCTTTGCAACTGCTGCTCACAGAGCCTGCCATGCCATCCTGTGTTCTCTCATTCCCACCTTCCCCAAACCTATCCCTTTGCATTCTGGGACTTGGACTTAGGGAAGATGTGTTAGGTCAAGTTGTCTCTTTGATTAGATTTTGGCACATGTGGCTTCTCTCAAGCATGCTTACCCTGGCTTTGGGCTTCCTATCATCCCATTCTCATTGTTGCAAGGGAAGGGGATTTCAGACCTATGGGTGGCGTCAGGGAAAGTGCATCCTTGGGATAGCAGTGGGGCCAGGGCCAGAGGTTCTTCAAAGACTAAACATGTCTTTGTAAAACAGGCGATGAGCTGATTTTCTTGGACCCTCACACAACCCAGACCTTTGTGGACACTGAAGAAAGTGGAATTGTAGACGATCAGACGTTCCATTGCCTGCAGTCTCCACAGCGAATGAGCATCCTGAACTTGGATCCTTCTGTGGCCTTGGTGGGTATTTGAAGGAGCTCTGATGGCAAGCTATTAAACATTGATTCCTTGGCAATTGCCCAAGTTGTTAGGTAGCATACCAACAGTGCATTTGCTCTGCACCCCCAAAATGAGGCACTGTGATAGGGCAGCTAAAGAACTGATCCTGGGTCCAAACTGATCAAGTTAGGGCCCAAGCTCAGCTACTTAACTATGTAGGAAAAGTCATAACCTTTCTGAGCCTCAGTTGTCAAATATTTGGGAACAAGGGAAACAATAGTTGCCTCATTATTTGCTTATGTGAGGTATAATCTATATATGTATGTATATATCTATATATCTATATATCTACACACACACACACACACACACACACACACACACACAGCCCCGGACCAGGACACTGCAAACAGGGTGTCAATGTTAGCCGTAGCATTAGCATTTCTCCTCTTATTCTTTCCTGCCCTCAAATGTTTGCCATATCAATATAAGTTGGGAAATGACTAGGAAGTGATTAAGGGAGGAGGACTCCCTGAGAGGTATCTATTTCTTGATGCCCCAATCCAGGAAGACTCGGGTTTGCTCTAGAAAGTGTGTCAATATCAACACATATTGAAAGGGCTCCTGCCTGTAAAGCAGTCAGTATTTCTTAGGCCCTTCTGCATCTTCATTTCCTGTTTCACCCATCAGAACACCAGTGACCAGGGACTGATACTCCCCTCTTGTTTTGGACCACTCTTGTCCTACTGAATGGTGATTGTCAGGGCAGGATACTGCTGCTTCTTGCAACTCTGACAGACAGTTTTTCAAAGAGTCAACCTCTTTTAAAGTAATGCTTTCATCTAAAAGACTATCCAACTAAAAGTACTATCCAGCTAAAAGTACAAGTAAAAGCTCTTGTGTCCTATTGCAATAAAATATTTTATACTGTGTGTGTGTGTATAAATGTGTGTATGTGTATATAAATGTGTGTGTGTATAAATGTGTGTGTGTGTGCCTGCTCACATGCATGTGTGAATGTGATGAAATTAACCCCATGCTTTGGAGACTGACCTTCAAGTTACAGTGTCTAACAATGTTGATGGGAGAGGGAGAAGGCAAGAAAGAAACAGAGACCAGGAGGAAGAGGGAAGGAGAAAGGGGGAGAATGAGGACGGGAGGGAGGGGAGAAGGGAGGAGACATAAGGAAAGAAAGAGACAGAATGGTTATGTATGTGCTTATGTAAGCCAGTGATTTTAGGGAGAGAGGGCCCAGCCAGTCAGTCCAGGAAAACGTGTGGCAAGAAAGTGGCCCACCCCCTAACTCTGGGACAGTAGCTCCATCTTGTAAAGGGAAATTCTAAATAGTGTTCTTCTTCCCCACCCAAGGGATTTTTCTGCAAAGAAGAGAAAGACTTTGACAATTGGTGTAGCCTTGTTCAGAAGGTAAGGATGTATGGATTTAAAAAAAAAAGTGTAAACATGAAAGCTACTAAATCTGGCTCCGTTTAAAGATTACTTATACATAATAACAAAACCATTCTGACATAGTTTGGTTGCAAGAGGAGGAAACTAAGGTAACAAAGAACCTGTTGGTTGTGGAGAACTCTGCATAAGTTTGGGACAAGTGAAGAAAGTCAAGCCTGTGTGTCAGCTAAGTGGGACACTCAGTGTTGAAGGTGAACGCTGTGCCTCGCTAAGGCCATGTGGCACCAGAAACATTCAGCTAACATTGGGCTGTTTTAACCTCAAACTGCAATTTCTTCCCTACTATGTTATGGATCACCAGTTAGGAGCACTGCTTGCTCTTTCAAAGGTCCTGAGTTCAATTCCCAGCAACCACATGGTGGCTTACAACCATCTGTAATGAGATCTGGTGCCCTCTTGAGGAAGAGACCTGGTCAGTCATCCTCATCAACTTAGACCATGAAGCCCAATATGGACAAGTTCAACAGAACTGACATCTATGGGCTGCTCATGTATGCTTCAGCATTGCCAGGGCATAAATTTCAAAATTTCATTTTCGTGTTTGTCACACTGAGATGGTTAAACAGACTGACATGTTTCTAAGTGTTTAGTGGTTCATTTATAATGCAGTATATACCATTGTGGTTTGGAGGACATTTTCTTCTACCAACTGGGTTATTTATTTAAGATACAGGCATGTGACCACTGAAAGGGATCAGCATTTGCAGAAGTCCATGATGAGTGATTCCTTTTGGCATATTGTGTAGAAGAGAATTATTGTATTGACTCACCAATCTCTGTTTCCCTCGTTGCCAGTCTCTAACACATACGAATGAGATGTTATATATTGATATGTGTTCACTGAATGAACTTAAGGAGATCATAGAAAATATTTTTTAAAGTGTCTGCTGGGGTACCAGACATGAATTTCTGTCTTCCAAAACCAAAGGATTGCAGGATCCCAGCATGCTATATACAAATGGAGGGAATCTTTTTCTTCACAGTGAACAAATGACTAACACTGATGTCCCTAACTGAATCTGTGACCTCAGATAATAGCTTAGTGAAACAAAATGGAGATTTTAGAAGAATTTATTTATTTGAGAGAAGTTATTGTGTATGGCCCAGGCTAGTCTGGAACTCAGTATGAAGCCTAGGCTGGCCTTAAGCTTGTGATACTTCTCCCTCAACTTCTGGTATACTTAGATTATAGATACGCGCCACTATGCCCAGTTCAAGAAAAATATGGTTTGTTATCACTATTGCTGCAGTTCTGAGGACTGAACCCATGTCCGAAAGTGCTCTGTCACTGAGCTATATCCCCAGCCCAAGAGAATTAGTATTCCTTTCTAATGGGAAAAACAAGTGGTCTTATTGCTGTAGCTATGTAAATATTATTCACAAAGAAGACATGTAATGTGTTTTATATATATATATGTATATTCTTCAAAGTTTTATTTTATACACACGTGCGCGCAAACACATACTCAATGTACTTTGTTCACATTCTCTGCCATTATCCTCTCTTACCCTTCACATCAAACTCTTTCTTCTCAACAAGTTCCCCTTCTGCCTTCACGTCTTTTTCTTTGTTGTCTGTAGCCATTATATTTAATTAGAGTTGCCTGAATTACTTGAATAAGAACAACTTACCAGTGGCTTCCACTGAGGAATATGCCCCCACACATGCAATCAAGAGAGTTATTCTTTAAAGATCCATGCTTATTACGTTTACTTACCTGTCTGTGTAAGTATGCCCTGTGTACGCAGGTGCCAGTGGAGCCCAGAAGAGGGCACTGGATCCTCTGGAGCCTTAGGTATGGGTTGTAACCTGCCCATTGTGGGTGCTCAGTGCTAAATTTGGTTCTTCTGGAAGAGTAGAAAGTGCTCCTAACCACTGAGCAAAGTGTTCAGCTCCAAAGAATATTTCTCTAAAGGAAGCATTTCCATTTCAGAATGTATCAATGCTCTATATTCATGCTTAAAGCCAGAATGACAATTTCATGATGACTTATCATTTAAACCAAGACGAATTTGGACTAGATCCGAAGGCATGCAGTTGTGTACCAGAATTCTCTTGGGGCATATTTTGTTTTGATTAAATGACCTTTTTGGTTATCTCCCCCCTACATTTGGGTGAACCTGTATACCTGGTGAATTCCCTGAGCCCCGTGACTGGATCAGTTCACACTGGGCTCCATTAGCTGTCTGCTCCAGTGTCCTTCTGGCCTTGTCAACCGGATCCAGCATCGATGCCTTCATTGAGGTCTTCAGATGATGCAAGTGGAGGATGAATGTGTTTGCTGGGTCCCACCTGCCAGCTACTGGACTACTCTCAGGGTTCAGGTTCTTGAACTGGCAAGTAAACAGAAGTGTGGTGACTCTGCGACATTTACAGCTGTTCCTTTGTCTACCCAGGAAATTCTAAAGGAGAATTTGAGGATGTTTGAATTAGTTCAGAAGCATCCATCACATTGGCCTCCCTTTGTACCTCCAGCCAAGCCGGAAGTGACAACCACAGGTGCAGGTAAGCTGTTTCTGTAAGCTCTCGGCCAGCAGACCCATATGTTGCAACTGTCTGCTGAGATAAAAGCAATTGTGGCTCATACTGCTGATGAAAAAGTGAAATTTCTACTAGTCTAGCCTGATTCTTTTAATCTTTGAAGAAGCTGATGTTTGTTCATTTGAAAGACTGCTAACCAAAAGAACACAACACGTTGTAAAGGATTTGTCATTGCAATCTCAAGATGACTAGAATTTGTTTTTAGAATAGCGAATCCCAGACCTGGGAACTCAGAAAGTACCTTGAGGTTTGGGTTGGTAGTTGTGTGCCTACAAACACTCAGAATGATGAGGCTGGAGGATCGTAAGTTCCAGGGCAGCTTAAGCTACATCCCAAGACCTGGTCTCAACAAATAAATAAAATGGCAGAAAGACAAAGAGCTGCCATAGTGAGCTTTAACCAGACCACCGTGAGCAGCTCTGTATAAACTGGCCTGGTTGTTTTATGTCTTACAGAAAATGTGTAATTCTTTATAGTAGTCCTATTGTACATTTCCTCCAGACAAACCTTGCCTTATCAAACTGATTCAGATAGGCAAAACGGCAGTGGCTGGGTAGTATCTTGATTGAGAACATCAGCCCAGGTGTCAAGTGTTTCTACTTTCTCATCTTTGTGTTCCAACAGAATTCATAGACTCTACTGAGCACCTGGAGGACTTTGACCTGGAGGAAGATTTTGAGATTCTGAGTGTGTAAGATAGCGAGAACTCAATGTGAAGGTCTTCTGCCTTCCATCTGACTCCACAAGAACTTGTTACATAAAACTTTTTGGTCAGCAAGTGCCTGATATGCCAACAGCATACAAACTCAATACCAATTATGACTGAGCCAATTATGATTTTTCAGAAATAAAAAAAATCAGTGGCAACAACACTTCTCTGAAAAGAAAAAGTCATGGCGTCTAGAAGAAAGATTTGGAATCCGTTGCTTCCAGCTTGTCTTACATGGAGACAGCAAGTCTTCAGCAGCTGGAATGGGAGCATTTGGAAGACAGACAGCGGCTTCCATCTTATTGCAAGCACCAGCAGATGAAAGATGGTTATACTGTTCTTCTTCATCCTTTCAGGTGTGACCTCTTTGGGGACAAGTACTAAGAAGAAGCCTGTTTTCTTGCTCAAATAATAAAATAAGTAAACCAGGGAGAAATACTCTTGTTAAATTATTTGAATGTGTACTTCACGTAATTATAATTTTTACCAAAATATTTGTCAAAGAAAAGATGTCAAATGTACACCTCTTAATTGCCTTCCAGTTTGGAAGAACCTATTCAGTAGGCCACAGTTGCCAGCCTTACTGATGCTTTTGTTTGATGTCACCATATCCTTAAGTCAAACAATGATCACTTGAATCAGAGGTGAGCAAACTTTTTCTTTAAAGGAGTAGGTAGATAATATTTTAGGCTTTGTAGGCCATGTGGCCTTTGTGCTGTAAAAACAGCCCTAGACAATATGCATGTGACTGAGCATGGCTGTAATCTAATAAAACTTGATTTACAAAAGGAAGTGGAGGGCTGGCTATGGCCTTACCAGTCGCTCACTTAGTGTTCATTTTTGTTTGAAGGATGAAATAAATTGTTTGAATTATATTGTTTTGAATGAAAACTATATTTAGAAAGAATTATTCATATGGTGACATTTAATCTGTCCATTAAATACATGTCCAAGTCATTGAGGACCAACAGCTTTCTAAGTTTTGAAGCACAGACCCATCAGATTATTGTGCTGAACGTGTGTTGTGAAGGATGCTGTTCTCCACAGCATCTCTCCGTCTTCCTTCCGTTGTCCCTTTCAATTTCACATGGGTCTGCATTTCATCTTCATCCTTTAAAGAGTTCCACAGGAGGCCAGCATCTGGCATCTTGAAACTAGCACTGACCAACCCATTTATTTCCTTAGGTTCCATCTTTTTCTTTCCCTTTTTTCCTTTTCCTTCCTTTTTCTTTTTGCCAGTATGTTATGTATTCTATAGGTTAAAAATTCAAAAGATGCAAAATGGTATTCACTGAAATCTCTCCCTCCCACAGGTCAGTTTCCTTCCCTGAAAACTGCTGGGATATTCTTGTTTATCCTTCCCCAGGATTGCTTTATGCATATGTAAACACACACACATGTTTAACTTATATGCACTTGTAAGATACGCATATTGCAGACATCTAGTTTAGATTTAGTATTTCTGTATCTATTTGTGTATATGTGCCTGTGTGAGCATATGCACCTATGTGTGTGTGCACAGCTCGGCGAGCAGATGGAGGCTTGAGGAGAGGGGCCTTGGGTATCCTCTTCTATCATTCTCTCCGTAGTCTTTTCAGAGAGGATCTCTCCCTGACCTGAAGCTCACATTTTCTTGGCTAGGATGGATGACAGTAAGGTCCAGTCACCTTCCTGTCTCTACTTCTCTTGAAGCTGGGCTTCAGACACACACAGAACTCCTGGCTTTTTTATGTGGGTGTTGTGATCCCGTCTCCAGTCCTCAGATTGTGTAGTAGGTACTCTTCGCTGCTGAGCAGTCTCTCCAGTCACAAGATTTCGTTTCGTTTTCATTATTTATTTTTTCCTTGCTTTTTTTAGAGCCAGGCTTTTTCTGTGTAGAAGCCCTGGCTGTCCCGGAACTAGCTCTGTAGACCAGGCTGGCCTCAAGCTCACAGAGATCCGCCTACCTCTGCCTCCCGAGTGCTGGGATTAAAGACGTGTGCCACCACCGCGCAGCAAGATTTCATTTCTTGGACTTCAGTATTTCCCTACTTTTAATTTATCTGTAAATGATCCTGAGGCCACTGAAGAATAGAAAGTCCCTTCTTGAACTCTAGCATGTGATAAAGATAGAAGCATGTGTATGCTTATTGTAAAGTATGTTGTGGGCCTGTTAACCAGGGGGAAACTTTCTGCCCTTTGACTTAATCATTTTCCAATTTTCCCTGTTTGGATGTTTGGTTATAAAGTTGAGTGAGAGTAGATTTTAAAAGAGTCTCCAAGTCAAGCATTCACATTTCATTAATTTTATTTGCTGTGTACAAAGCTAACACCATCCTTTACTTATGTAGGAGGTGAGAATGGCAACAGCTCAGATTATATGGTTATGCTTTGCTTGTGTGGGCACAGTTTATATAGTACCCAAAGAAGTGCAATCACCCGGAAGGGAGTGCTTCGTGTCCACGGAACTGAGTGTCTTCTAGGCAACTGATAATTAAAATAGATCGCTTCAAACAGCAGATAGTATGGGCAAAGTATACCTCATGAGCAACTAACTCAGACTGTGCCTTGGGTCTGCTAACAGTGGTGTGTGCTGGATTTTTATGAGATTTTGGGGGAAAAAATTGCAAATAGTTTAAAAGGCTACCTGTGAAAGAGTAGTTGGATGGCCGGCCATTTTCATTGGAAAGTCTTGAACAGCCTCAGAATGCAAGGAGCCAACTCACTGCAGCCTCAGTTTGCCACCCTGCATAGATCTGGGTGGCATTTGGAGCAATCAGGGATTTCTGAGAAATGGGGACATGAGATTTACCTTTTTGTTCCTGGCGTTAAAAGCAAAACTGACAGTTCCATATCTATTCATCCCTCTGCCCTAAGCCAAAAAGAAAGAGAAGTGGTTTTCATTTCCTGAGAACTTGGTCACGTTTACTGCATCCTTTGTTCTACTTTGGACCAGACCAAGTTGTCCATCTCTTTGGCTGTGGAGAGATCCAGTCAGGAGACAGTGGTTTGTCTAGGACCAAATACTGGTATTTCAGCTTTTCCTAGTCAAGATGGGTGGGGCATGGAATTAACAAACTCTAGAAGGAATCACAGCTCAGTTCTGGCTATAGGCTGGCTCCTCATCTCAATCCTACTACCTGCCTAGATACAGCAGGCTGCCTTAAGTAGGCAGGGCTAGCCCTAGGCAGACCCGAGCTGTCCGTAATGTTCAGCCAGAGCCATACTTTTAGGGTGGAAAGCCTGAGCTCTAGTTTAAGTCAAATAATGTGTGGTGACATCTCATCATAAAGAAATAACTTAGCTGTGATAAAGAGCTTCCTGGTCAAGGCAGTGGGAACTCTAGCAGTCTTTGAAAATGGTGGTCCAGCACATCTTTCTGAGGTAACCATGGATAATCACACACATGTCCAAATGGAACATTAGCACCAGATTGATGAACATAGAGCTGCAAATCCTAGCACAGTGGGCTCATCTGTTGGGCCGGAGGGTTGGGATGCCCAGTGTCCAGTAGTCCAGTCCAAATGAGGCTCTGATGTACAACTTGACAGGCAAATGGGTTCAGGCCTTCCTTTCTCAGGCAGCCCAGATTTGTGAGGTGACTGTTGTGAGGGGGTAGGGAGGGCAGGGGCCGTATGACGGACAACATCCTACAGGTGTTTCATGCACACCTGGCAGCGGCTCACCCTGGTGTGGAGCTGCCCGGTTTTCAGTGTTTCCGAAACAGGCTCTTCCCGGAACTGCCGTCTCTCCTCCACTGCGGTTAGCCAGAAACTGTACTTGTTGGCAAAGTAGTGGCAGGTGCCACGGGCACCGCTGCACTCAATGAAAGGAGTGGCTCTGAAGTCCTCAAGGCAGGAACCAGGGGAGACAAGGGACTGGCCTCCGCCCTCAGCCCCGGCAGCCGTGTGCTGAAACAGAAGGGAGGGGACCATGGGGGCGGTGCCAGAACTCAGAGTGGACGATCCCCGCGTCCTGTTCTTAAAGGTCTGCATATGTGCTGCATCTCAGAAGTCTGGACCCTGAAATCACTCAGCTTCTAGGCGGCATGTTGAACCTGGGCTTTGGGAGCAGGTACTGGCCATCCCCCCTGAGGGAGCTGTGGGATGAGCCGCCCGCTCCTGGCTCCTTTGTACCCTCCTAACCATGCTGCGTGGCCAGTGATCACCTTTCACCCAGTGTTTTCCTATCTGTTCCTATCACACAGGCTTCCCAGCTATGTGAGATTTGCCTTCCTTGACTCCTGTGTTCCACAGATATGTGTAATTTGACAATTTTTATTAAATTATAGTTATTTATTTAATGTGCAGGTTGGTTCTAGAATCAAACTTTGGCTTAGTGACAAGTGCAGATTCTAATGTGTTATATTCTTCCTTTGATAGTGACAAAATGGAAGAACACACAGAGTAAGGCCTTGGCTTGCGACTCATCCATATTCCCAGTCCAGAACAGCAGGTTCAAATTGCTCTCCTTCCCCCACAACCACAAGGGGTTGGAATTTCCATCTTCATCTCTCTTTATGTTGAATTCTAAGTGTCCCTGGAGCCTGAGATCCATGGGAAAGCCTGCCCTGAGCGCTTCTCTCCCACCATCTACCTGTCTTTACTTGGGGACAGAATGGTTCAAGGCCTTACCATGAGGAAGGAGTAACCGATCCAGAGGCTGCGCCAGCCCAAAGGGCACTGTGGGATGGTGATGTCTTGGCTGTGCACAGCAATGGCTTGCGAGGGTGCCTCACAAACAGAGCAGCGGCTGATGTACTGGGGAATCTGGCTCTGACCCACAGGCATCATGGGAATGGGGGCAGTCGTGGAGAGCCAGTAGGACTTATCATTGCGTCTGGCATAGTGGCACACTTCATTGATGTTGCAATAGATGAACGGCATGGTGCTGAATCGGGGCAGGCAGGAGCCAGCAAACCCTGGGAAGAGAAGATGGGCAAGGATCGGCTAAGTGGTGGCCAAAGGGCAGGGGCACAAGGCCTGAGTAGCTGACGATGTGACTTTCCACCTAAATGCTTTCCCAGAGCACGACAGCTCTCTCCTACAGTCGGGTGACTCCGGTCTGTACTGGAGCCTGAGGATCAAATCATTTCATAAATATACCAGGGGAGTTGAATAATGACGAGAATCTCTTGATAAAGTGAATAATCACTCCCTAATTAATCTGCTTTGTCAAACCAATATTTAATAGATGGAATTCACATTTAAGAGTTAGCCCACCTGCTGCTAATGCAATTAATCCCGGAGTAATCACCTAATCACCGCTGCTCTGTGGGGCACGCTACTATTGTTATAACTAATCACTGATACTTAATGGGGGCTTAAATACATTTTACATTATTTGATTCATGAATTCCTTACACCACTCTATGTGACACGTACTAGAAATAGTTCAGCCCCATTAAGGGAGGATAAAAGCTTGGAGAGGTTGGATAATTTAGCTAGGGTATGTAGCTTTGAAATGGTAGGACTTTGAGTCAAATTCCTTTTGACCCCAGAGTTGGTGCTTGTGGCTGACTTCACAACCACGGGTCTAAAGGGCTGAGAAACATAAGAGGTCAGTTCTCAGTTCTTGCAGGGACAGGTAACAAGGACTGTATGTCAGAGCCAGTACTTACCCAGGTCCTGGTTATGGGCTTTCTCCTGCCCCTCCACGAACAGTAAGCTGTAACCCACCCACAGCCTGCTCATCCCGATGGGGCATAGCGGCACCTGTTCTGACTGACTGTGTTTGACCAGTGTGTAGCCCACTTGCACACTGTGCCCTGGCATTCCAGGCCTCCCAAAGGGACCCTGCTGCCCTGGAGCACCTGAGAAGAAAAGAACATACAAGTAAGTATGGCACAGATGACAGTGACTCTAGCCACTCTTGGTCCTAAACATTGTATAAGGCA